GTGCTCCACAGAGCTGCCACTCATACAAGGCGCTTGGCAAACACAATCAAGAACAGGAAAAGTGAATGAGCATCAGTAAAGAGATCAAGTCCAGGACCCTAGAAGAGAAAGGCTCCACTTATTTTTAAAATGAGATTTTCATTACACACATGCAGAACAGGAAGGTGCCTGGTCTTCATAAACAGGAATTTCATGTTCAGCGTGTGTGCAGGTACGTGAAGCCCACACTGCGTTTGTAAGAGGCACTGCCACAACACACAGTGTTAGGTCCAACAAGATGTAGGCCTCATTTTCCAGTACAGCAAGAAGCGCTGATGTTCCTCGAGCTCCTAAAAACAACATTCAAAGCCCTACCGCAGAGTTACCCGCAAGTGGTGGTTTATTTCCTTCCGAAAGCGCAGCTGCATTTCTGCCACCTCCTGCCAGCTCAGTGCCTTGTCACAGGACTGAAAGGTCAGCCTGTAGCAGAGGCTCTTCCGTCCGGTCTCTGACTGCTGGAAACTGTCGATTAACTGGATGGATACGACTGTTTCAGCTGACACCCACCTAGCAATGGTGTGAAAAGCAACTTCATCAAATTGTTCACCATCAGGAAGCCAAAAGCTGACATCATGCACGTAGGAAGGTGGATAAAGAGAGAAACTCTTGAAAAGCCTTAACTCTCCTCTAGGAAACTGACGAAGAAACCGTGTGTCTGACGTCCAGAGCATTTGCCAGTCAGATATTCCACAGATCAGCATGGCTAGGAGATCAAGATTCAGAGAAGCAAAGACAACCACCAACTCACTGCTTACTAGTTCATAATGAGCTGTCCTTATAATGCCCACACAGGGGCCCTTCTCACAGAAGCCTGAAGTATCTATATCCATGAAGTACCAAACTTTACTAAGCTGAGATTCAAAAGCAGCAAAGTCATTTAGCTCAGTTGTTTCAAAGCTCATTGCTTCCTGAAGAGTGATATTTGGTTTAAAGCCAGAAACAGTCTGGCAAAGAGACTGTATGCTGGTTTTAATGTTATTCACCAATATCTGGATATAGCTGTTCTCTGTACCCCTTTTAATTGCACCTATCAAAAACATCTCATGAAAAACAGGCATGGAGTAAGGAGTGATAAGACACTTCCTGAAAACTGGACCAGATAGAACATAAAGTGTCCCTGGGAGAAAGGATCCTCTTTGTACTATTGCCTGAGCATAAGTTAGAAGGGAAGGTCTAAGATAGTACTGTTTGGAAATGTGGCATCCCTCTTGTACACTCACCCAGCCATTCTTATCTGAGTCCCTGCAAAAATCAACGTGGGAAAATGAAACTGCATTTGTCAGTCCTTTAGACTTTTCTTCAGTGCCTGGAATCTCCTCTGGGCTCAGAATGATCCAAAAGATATTTGAGGGGCAAACATCATTGAGGTGAACTTGATGAAGCAGAGAAAGAGAGGAGTCAATGTTTTGTAATGGAAAGGCTTGGCTGAGCTCTGCAGTGAGCTTCTCCTTCACTGTCCGTACTGGATGATTTGAATTTAGTTCTAGGAAACCCCTGTGAGAAATAAAAGAGCAAGTTATGGACACTACTAAACAGATTTCCTTGAAATGCCTTCCTGTAATCATAATTTGAGTTGAGAAATTTACCCCAAACCATCTCAGATCTTAAGCCAGTCTCTAGCAGCTACTTGAACAAGCCAAGCCTTTTATCAAAGGTGTTGCAACAACTAACACATTTTCAGGACAGCAGTGTTCATCTCCAAGTTGCAATCAAGAATTCACTGCTCTTTCACCGGTAAAAAAGGAACGGGACTTAACAGTCAGCATCACTATTTCCACCCAGCACAGGCACTACCAGACTACAGAAATTAATGAAATTATGCAAGCCCTGGATAGTCTCCAAAGTATGCAGCAGTTCACTAAAGGCTCTACTGTGGTATTCGGAAACACCAGGTAAGCTGCTGATTTTATTTCATTGTATAAAAAAATAGATTTAAATTTTCATCTTTATTTGTGCATTCGAGTATACAGCAGCTTGGCCTCAACTATAAAGTATCTTTTTGTTTTGTAGACTTATTTTTTAAGTAAGCCATAACCACAAACCAACATGAAACAGACTGAAGAAAGGAGACAAAGTGAAACGGTTCCATTTTATCTGACACATACGCTGGTCAGAGAGCAGGAGTGTGTGTTATTGCTAAACAGAAGCTAATTACAAAACTTACCTATTAATTTTATCCACAAGTACTGGTGGTACTTGAAAAGAAACCTTTTGGCTTTCCAGTTCTATCTTGTAGCTCATAGGTTTGAAGAATGTAAGTGGCGTGCTTCTTGTGAAAATGTGGTTTAAGGCACCCTCTACACAGAAAGATTTATCTTGACTCCTGACAATACACAAAAGCAGGGCAAAGTCATCGTTTGTTTCCTACATTTAATGTGTCGCAAATAAGCATTACACAGGTAATTCTGTGTAACATCAACACACCTCTCGTTGAATCCCAGGTCTTGTTACAATGTGACATTAATGCAACACTACCATATTTTTATTGGGCATGTGGTCCAACACTGGAATAAGTTGCACAGGAAGGTTGTACAGTCTCCGTTCCTGAAGACTGAACAAGACTGAGCGATTTGCTCTAGCTGGCTCTGCGTTGTACTGTGGGGTAGGACTAGACGATTGCTGAAGGTCCCTGCCACTATCTGCAATTGTCTGCCAAGCAGATACACGTATCACAGTCCTCCTGCTGTCTTTACACCAATACCAACATCTGTTCTGAAATAGGCCATTTTGACCTTTAAAAACCTAAGACAATCTTATATTTTAGGGGATACTTTAGCAAGAGACCTGCATTTTTGTCTTGACTATTCTGCTTAGAGGTGAAAAAGAACAGTGGCCATTTCAAAGAAAATTAAAGGGAGTTTCTACCTCGAACAATCAAGATACTAAAAGAGCATAGCAGTGCCAGGCATTATAAAAGCATGAATATCAACTTCTCAGTTTTGCCACATCCTGGTTACCTGTAGCCTGTACACTTATATCCATGGATAGTCTCTGCTTTAAAAGGATGAACGTGACTCAAGATAAATCCAGCTCCTGCTGCCACAGCCACTATTTGCCAGCTGTTGTGCCATTCTCTCCTTGGTTGATCAGCAGGTGTCCCACCCTGTCCATTGCAAAGAGCCACATGGATCTCACCTTCCTCTGTCAGTACTTCTGCAGAGCTAGAAGGAAAGCCAAGCAACAATAAAAATCCCCTTACAGTGTCAGAAAAAACACCTGTTACACAGCTGTATCATGGTAGTCAATTAGCATAGAATTACTTCTGGTTTACTCACCTATGGAAAAAGCGGGCAAGAAGCTCTCTATTCTTCACAACCCCAGCCTTTCTCCCACAGTGAGGGAAGTTGAAATAAATACAGTCAAATTCTCTTTCTTCTGGTAAAAAATAGTCACGCAGCTTGGCACAGTCCACAGAAAACACAACTTCAGCTCCTTTAAAAGCAAATGAAAAACAAGACTCTGATGTTTATTATTATGGAAAAGTTTAAAGAATGGCTGCAACTGAAGTCCTCTAGTCCCTTTTTAAGCATATCGGAGCAGCAGCTGCCAGGTGTCTTCCCACTCACGTGCATCCGCAAAGCCAGAAAGACTCAGCTCCCTTCGCCCTCTTGCAGAGACTTCTGCTAACCTGCTCCTAGCTCCAGTACTATTGTAGCTCCATTAGATTTTACCGGTTTTGCTGTAGCCTCTTGGACAATTCCACTTGCTCGTGGCAAAGGTGGTCTTCCGAGATGCCTGGGGCGGCACCGGGCTGCAA